GGACAGCAAAGCAAGACCTACAGTGCAGACTCCTAGAGACTAGCTCAGCAGCACTTGAGAGCACTTGACCTCTCCAAGGTTTTCCCAGATCAGGAAAAGGCCTGGGAGATGGGCTCTCAAAATCAGGATTAACATCCTCCTCCTCTTGGGAGCAGCAGAAAGAAAACATGGGACCCTAAGCACTGGTTTGGCAATATTGAGAGGCCAACAAAAAAGATGAGAGGATAAATACAGGGAAGCACTATATGTGACAGCTGCAGCTGCACATTCTTTAATTTCTTTAAGGAAAGGGAGCAATTTCTTTAAGGAAAGGGAAAAGAAATTGTCAATCACTAAAACACCACTGAAAGGGAGATTTCACTTAACTCACAGACATCGTTCAGTGGCTGAAGCCTGCCAAGCAGCAGGGAAATGTAAAAGCAGTGGTTGTTAACGGGCATAATGAGCAGGTAGGCAGTGTTGACAGCCCATTCCCGGCTGGAAGCTATGCTCCCTAGGGACTTCTTATCTTGCCATCCACTTCTCCCGGCACCGTGTGTATATATAAATGCAGCCTGCAGAGCTGCCAGCCCCAGCCTGGGGTTGCTGGGTGGTGATGGGTGCCAGGCAGCCCTCAGCCCGAGCTGCTGCCTGCACRAGGAGAGGGAACCTGCTCCTCTCACCTGCACTTCCACCCGGGCCCAGGCACGCGGTGGGGAGGTGTCTCCTGCTGCGAGCCCCCTTTGCTCTCTTCATTCACCTCTATGAGCGCCTGAATTTGTCTCCTAAAAAACATCCAAAGACTGCTTTTATTTACTCAGAACRAGGTTTTATTTTCTCCCATCATGCAAGCGACTGCTGTCCTTAAAATTCCCAACAGACTCCTCCTACAAGGAACCAGCCAGGTGTGATGCCAAAGGGAAAGGTTCGTTACTGAGAAGTGATGAGAGCAGAAAAAAAAAATGGAAAGCGAATCACACGCAGTCATGTGTTAAAAATTAAAGGAATACTATGCTGAAAGTACATGTTATCTTAGCAGAGAGCAGGACCACTCAGTCTGGCTGTGGAGTTCATTTTTCCTGTGTACTCCAAGCTGAAGATACGCAGCRCTTAACACTTGGAGAGCACATACCACGTGCCTAGCACAGGAGAGCCACCAGCCCTGGGCACTGTTAACCTATGTGTTTCTTGCTAAAAATCCACACACACACACAGAAAATCACAGCGAATTGCAGGCAGCGTTGGGTTCAGCTGCTGCCTCGGTGAGGTGGGACATGCAGGAGATGTCACTTCAGCAGAGGAGCTGCACATGGGTCTCATATTGAGCAGCACTAGCTGGAGATTTGGGGGAGAGCTGCTGCTTCACCAGTGCTCTGCTGGGAAGCACGAGGATACGGAGGAAGCATCGCTTTCCCAGGCAGCTACAGCACACACATTTATATTCTGCTGAAAAAGCGAGTTGCTTCTCTTCACTCCTCCTGTCATACAGACACACACTGGGAGAGGGGGAGGATGGGCAGGAGGGATCTCCTCACGGTTTCTACCGAGATACGAAGAGGTTTGAGGCAGGACCTGCCTCATGCAGTGGGCTGAACGCTGAGCTGCTCCACTGCACCGCATCCAAGCGCTGCCAGAGGGATCCCAGCCCTTCGGTACTGTAATAAAAGCAACAATAATGACTAGAAAATAATGGCTGTGTATCCAAGGCTATAACCACCTTCTCCTGCTCCCTTTTCTTGTGTTTACTAGCTCCTGAACTACAAAAGATAATAGCCACTAAAAATGATAATCTTGCTGCTGCTGAGTGTTTCATGCTGATCAAAAGCACAAATGTTACCTAACAGTAAACTCACAACTGTTCAGTGTATCTGCCACCAAAATACAAAAGAGAGTATCAGCCCTGATGGAGTTTGGACTTGTGCTTCTCTAGAAGGTAACCTATTCAAACCTGGCATGTAAATAATTAAACTTTCTGTATAGATTTCCCAGATAGGATGAGGAAGCAGAGCTGTTATTTGGGGTTTGGTGTAGCTATGCACAATCTCAGCCCTGCTTCTTAAATGACTACAGACGCAGCTGCAGTCTGCYTGAGCCGCATCCATGCAGCAATTCCTTTCAGGGTCAGGAATGAGCCACATTCGAGCACCGATTCCTGACAGCCTCCCTACCTGGATGTGTTTTGGTGCTTTCCAGGGAGGAGCACGAAKCCATGGGGTGCCAGGAGACACGGGGCCAGCCTGAGCCCACAGCAGATGCAGCTCCTGGGTGTCTTGTAGCAGTGGAAGCCGCCAGGAATCAGTTGGGAGCTCAGGGCTCCTGCCCATGCTGGAAAAAAACACCTGCTCTGACCATCGGCTGGAAGGAGACACCTCCAGCTCGCAGTATAGGAAAACACAGCTCGAGGCCAAGGCTACAAGTGGGCATTGGAAGGGGCTGTGTTTACAGCCAGCCCCATCACTGAGGGATTACAAACTTACTTAAGAACACGCAGCAGGCGGGACACGAGGTTATCTATCCATGAATACAAACACATACTATTAGAATGCCCATTTTTTCACAGAATCACAGAATGATTGAGGTTTGAAGGGACCTCTAGAGATCATCTAGTCCAACCCCTCTGCTTTTGTGGGATTAGATCTTAAATACAGGTATTAAGATCTTAAGCAGAATTTTGATTTTGCTGCATTACATATCACAGCCATCAATTCTTTKTTATTTTTGCTAAAACCCAACAAAGAACTACCTTGAATTGGTCAAGGCTGAACCGTAATAAAGCATTCCTGAGATAAGGGAACAAACTTTAGGATTCTGTGCTGAAAACTTCCATTCTCAGCAACTAAACCACTTCCAAAACCTGACTTGCTAATGCCAGAGAAAATGCCTTAATTAAAAGAGAGGAAAACAGGCAGAACTGCTCTCCAGTGTGTTTTGAAGGTCACACAAGCAATGTGAACTATGAACTTCAGGGTTCAGGAATCCAGCACATAAAGGGGCAGGAGAGGAAAACTTTTTCCATCTAATCCAAGCCACTAGATACAAAATAATCAACCAACTGTAGGTATTTTGATTCAGCAAAAAATCTGATCCAGTATTTGGGATTCAGCATTGAATCTTACTGAATTGTTCTGGTGAGAAAAATCAGCCAAGAAGCACCAGGAAGACAATAATCCTCAGTTACAATCTGTTTTGTATCATCAGAGAGGATATTTTCTGTCCTCATTTGTACGGGACCAGTAGCTGCCTTTTTCAATAGGGGCACTATTTTAAAAGGTACCTCTTAACTTAATGATGTCAATTTATACATTATAAAATAAAAATTTAATCTGTCTTTATGCTACTAAATCATAACTCTTTGGAACTATTCATTATGTCAAATAGCACCAAATCAAAGGTCTCTCTTTCCCTTTTGCTACACAATAAAGTGGTGTTGGCAGTAGTATACTTTAACACTCGTAATTTATTAACCTCAGAGGTGTTGTAGCTTGAAACTAAAGCCACAGAAAGGAGGCATTTAGCAAGCCATACATGCTGCATATTTTCACAGCAGAGGGGCTCCTGCTGTGCTTTTCTTGCCTCCTACATTTTTATGATTTTTCTCCTCTCCATAACTGCCAAGTCTCGTATATTTTGCAGAGACGCTTACGTTGCACTAAACCTCTTCGCTGCGTCTTTAAAAGGGCTGCTGTGCACGCGTCAAAGAGGCATTAAAAACACCCCGAGGAATTTTAACCTCTTCAGGGGGAGACAGCACAGTCCAAGGCGGTCACGCCTGGCATTTCCCGGGAGAGCATCCCGGCTGCAAACCCGTATGGAAGAGCAATTCCATACGCTGAGAGAACCTGTAAGTAGGGCAGCAGCCATGATGTAGGAGGGTCTCCGGGGAGGAAGGCGCTAAGAGAAACGCGCCTTCGTGCCCTGTTTTCCTCTGCCRCTGAAGATGAGGAAACACAATTATTTCATTGCAGTGAGTCAGTGAACGTGTTCCTAGCGACAGCCCAGCTTTTCAAGGAAAAAAATCACATTTATCAGACAGCTTTGTATGTTAATGCGGTTGTTTTGCTTATGGGACCAGASGCATTCAAGATGCTCTTGTGAGTTCAAGAGGGGTGTTTGCTCTGACCACATCAGCAGGACTGACCAGAGCGAGCTAAAAATTCACTTAAACCTGGCTCAGGGCAGGAGGAAAGCCAGAGCACGTGGTGCTATTTACTGGCGTGACCAGATCTACCCTCTCTGCAGCCATCAAGAAGCTACAGACCACGCTTCAGCAGCACACGGTGAGAGGAATGGAGGGAGCTGCTCCTGMGTATTTAGGGGAGGAGGAGAGCAGCTTCACCCCTTGGTCCATGTTTACAGGGGATGCGCTTGGATGTTGCGTTGTGAAATGCCCAAAACACGGATAATTCCTGCGGGATTGGAAAGCGGGGAGAGATGGGCGAGCACGGGGGGCAGAAGAGAGCAAAGAACAACCAGAGCAGCCCAAACGGCGGCCGTGCTGCTGTGGGGCGCGGGGCCGCCGCGC